CCACTTTAAGAAAATTTGTAGATCATATTTCTTTCATTCATATAGTTTTTTCTCCCCATACAGACAGCCTTGTACCATTGTTGTGAAATACCTTGCAACAAGCTGAATGTGTGAACCATGCCTGTGATCCTAGCACTTGGGAGGGAGACTGCGACAAGAGAGTTACTGTAAGTTCAAGTCCAGTCTGAACTACATAGTGAGGCTCTGTCTGTCTCAAAAAAACTAAAAAAAATCTTGCAACATAGATTTCATTTTTTACTATCAAGCCTCAGAGAAGATAGTTGAATACAGCTGCATAGAAATGTTCTATAATTTTACATTTTTAAGAAACCATTTTGAAATTTTGACAAAAAGTAATCTTTATAATAATAAATTGTTTATTCACAATTGACACAGGCATCTGTGGTTATATAATAATTTGGTCTGTTATCTTTAATAAAGGGTTTTATGTTCCATTTATCTTTTTGCTATTACATATTAAGGCATCAGATTTCTATTAGTCATTACCTCTGTTTACTGTGTTATTTTGTTTGAATGAGTTTTTATAAATCATTTATATAGGATTTAAAACTGGGATGCACCTCAGAGTTTTTTGTCCTTTAAAACGTAAATTTCAGATGGGCACATTGGCACAGGCCTGTAATATCAGCACTCTTAGAGGCTGTAATAAGAGGATTACAAATCTGAGCCCAGTTTGGGCAATTTAGTGACTTAGGAGACCATATCTCAAAATACAAAAGGGGTTTGGGATACAGTGCAGTGTAAAGGCCCTGGGTTCTATCACAAGTACCACGCACACTCATACACACACACACTCCCCATAGGTACATTTAAGCAATTCATTTTTTTATTATTGGTAAATCTGAACTATTTTGCAATGTCATTTTATGTATTCAGTTTGTCATTCTTTTTTTTTTGGTGTTTCATTTTCTATTTATTGTTGGGCTGACAAAGATGTATTACCATTTCTATATATACTTTGGATGTTGTACATTTTTATTTTAAAAAAATTTTTTAATTTTTATTCATTTTTTTATAAAAAGGGTTAAAAAAACCCAACAAAACAGAACAAAGCAGGTCAGAAGAAAACAATGCGAAAGTGACACAGGATTTCAAAGCAAGGAAACAGGAGATCAATAGTGGCTACCATAATGTCTCATTTTCTTCAAAATAATTGTCTATGTTTTCTCACACAATGAATTCAAACAAAACAAAGTAGTATGAAACTGATCAAAACAGAAGAATGAAAGCATTACAGGTCTCCAAAACCAGACAACAGGAAAATAAAAAATGGCTACATAATGTCTCTTGTCCTCTTCAAAATAGCTGACTATATCTTCATATATGTTGAAATTAAATAATACAAAACAGACTAAAACCACTCTGAACAAAGAATAAAAGTATTACTGGATTTCACAGCATGAAGATAGGAAATCACCAATGGCTGCCATGATGCCTCTTTTTCTTCGAAGTAGATGTTCATTATCATCACACATAATATAATCAATTCTCATAACCTGCTTAAGAGAAGTTCTAGGCACGAATAAGCTTCTATAAGTACATCTATCCTTTCTGCATTAGAGGGAAAAACAAAACAAAACAAATTACTAGAAAAACAAGAAACAAAAAAGATAAATATCAATAGCAAAGAGCCCAAAACAATGATAATATAGGCCTTCAAAATAAGGTGGTAGGAACATAATTGAGATTGTTATTTTACATAGTAATAACCTTCAAAAGAGTTCTTCAGATCACCAGATAAGAGTTATGGGAAGAAGTTTTCCACCTTGAATTCAAAAGGCCTGGGAGGCCAGGCAGTGTACCCTGAGAGGGGAGGATGTGAAGCTGTGAATTTGAGGCTCAAGGTGCAGCAGAGACTTCAGAAGTTCGGAAAAGCCTGGAACGTGGATCGTCTAAGGAAAGCCACAAGCAGGGAGCAAACCAGCCCTAAGAGAGTAGTTGTGGGAACTTCAACCACTGAAAGCGCCTTTTTTTAAAAAATTGGTTTTATTCTGTTGTTTTATTCGATTTTACTATGTCTGAAGGTAACTACGGGCATTATGGTAACCACTGTTAATGTTTTATTATCTTGTTTTGAAAACCTATGTCACTTATGCAGTCTTGTTTTAGTTGGCTTTATTCTGTTTTAATTTGCTTGGTTTTTTTTTTCCTCTTTAACATAAAATAAAAGAAAAACTCTTAAGAAATGAACATGAATGTTTGGGGGATCAAGGTCAAACTGTTATAGTTCTAAGGGCCAGGGTTTTAGCTCAGTGGCATATACCAAAAACAAACAAACAAACAAACAAACAAACAAACAGCAAAGTGTTATAGTTCTAATGTACCATAATGTTGATCTTTAAGGGTTGTTAAACCTGTGTTCTTATGTTCAAGTTGTGGAATGATAAGAATAAGCATGTCTTTATACTTGGAGACATTTAAAAATGTGTCTGTTTGCAAAGTTGACAAGGAATGGATTGTAATGGCCGATACACTGTGTCAACTTGAAAAGTTTAGAAGTTAAACTAATTGATTCATCATGGGGCCAGGAGTCTCATTTCCTAAACATCCTTATCCTGTGCAAGAGGAGAGTTTGAAGACCATGTGAGGGCTCCATCTGTCCTAGGGAGGGAGTGGCCTGCTTACAATATAAGGGGGGAAAAGAGACTTTTTCCTCCCTTTTTTGCTTTTGCTGTCTTTTGTCGCCTTGATGTATTGCCTCTGTGCCATGCCACCCTGCTTTGGAGCCAGCTGATTATGGACTGAAATCTCTACAAAATGTGAATTTAATAAATGTGTTTTTCATTAATTATGGGTGTCGGACATTTTGTTCCAGTAATGAGAGAAAAATAACCAAGACATATAAATTATGTAAAACAATTTAAGTACAAATGTAGAAAAATTTTTTAGTGTTAATATGATTCTTGAGCTTTGAGGAATGCTAAAAGTTCTTCTATAACAATGTTTCACTATTTTTTTTGTAGTATTACATTTGAGGAAAAGATTATCTTTGAAAAAAACAAGTTCAAGTGATTTCTGAAAATCTGAAGTATATTCTGAAAACCATATTATAGATACTATTTAATTAAAAAGTTCTTGATAAATGAAAGGTCACACTAATTCTTTTGGTATTGAAATCATCACCTTTAATGTGATTAATTGACATAACATTTAATACATAATTGTGCTTACATTCCACTGTTATTATATGGAGATACTGATTTGGATTCAAGAAGAATATCAAAACAATTATTAATTGATTCTAGTTGTGCTAATCTTGCATTTAATTCCCTTATCACTTTAACGACATGAAATAACTTCTCTTTTATAAAATGTAACCTACTTTGCATTTTAACTTGTGTTTTGAAAAATAAAAATTCAGAAAGTGTTATGTATGAAATGATACTACTAAGCATTTGTAATATAAGTTATGTGATCATTTTATATGTTAAAAAGGAAAGCTTGCAAAGTAGTTTTTTATTGTTAAGGAAAAGCAACTATAGAACCTTTTACCTTTTATTTCTTTGCTGTCTAGAGATGGTTTGTGCTAATTTAAAATGTGGAAATTCTCTTATGTGAAAATTCTCTATTTTCCTTCCTATTCTTTGTAATAGGTAACTATGTTGACTCGAATGCAAGCAAGTTCTGTTTTGACCCTGGGTCTTGGTATAACATTTAATTCCTCTTATTAGTATGTAGGTTGTGGTGGATTAATTTTAAGTGGTAATACTCATTTGAACTGAGTCAGTGTGGTTCTGGGGACGGAAGACCCACCCGAGGATTGCTGCCAACAGCTTAAAAGGAGGACAAGAGGAGAAGATTGCATGCTGCTGATTTCTCAGAAGCTTTGTTGCAGCTGGTCTTCCTGATATGAACTTGGGTCCTCACTGTCACCAGTGCTGGCTGTTGTTCTCTTTGGGAAAGTTCTGGTCTTCACCTCAAGTGTTGTTTTCCTGGTTCCAGGGCAGATCATCTTCTGTTACAGATCCTTCACTTTCTAGGTTCCATCACTGACCTTTGGGACTTCCCAAAGGGCAGATCCTTGATATGGAGTTGCATAAGACATTGCTGTAGGTTCTAAACCTTTGGCTGGACTCATATGGGACATGGCATGGGATCCAGGCCATGGAATCTTTAGATCTCTAGCATGTAGACAGGTCTCTTGCATTCTTCTGCATTTGACTTTTTGGGTGAATGTTATGAGATACTTCCATAAATTTATGTGTCTTGTATGAAATCTATTCCCTTGCAACCCACTGACTACATTTGTCTTCTTGGTAAATAGAATCTTAGGCTTTGTAACTTTTATCTTCATGTTGAACAGAACATTTCTTGATTTTGCCAAGCACTCATGATCTATTTTTTTTTTTTTGTCTTTTTCCTTTTTATCAGTACCAGGGATCGAACTCACGATTGCCTGCTTGCAAGGCAGGCACTTATGCCGCTGAGCTAAATCCTCAGCCCCCATCTATTACTTTCAAAGCAGCCTTTAACTTTTCTGGGGACTCCTTTAGTTCCTTTTCTAATAGTTTAGTCCCCATAGACCTCAGATATTTTGTTCTTAGACCAAAACCAGATATACTCAGCTGGTTAGGGCTGGGCACACATGTGTGGTCTTGCTAAGTTCTGCTGAGCTCACTTAGGTAGCTGGAGACTATGCTCCACGATGCAATAGCCTAGGTTTAGTTGAAAAGTCTTAGCTGGCCTAGCTTTTCTTGATTAGCTTATTTTCCTGAAACTAGTAGACTATTACATGCAGAGCAGAAGTACAGGAGTAAACAAGCAGAAATGTACAGTCTCTGGAAGCAAAGGCTTAAAACTGACATAAGTGTCAGCTAATCATATCAAACGGAAGAGCTCAGAGTAGGAGCGCACAAGATTACATCGTAAGTCTTATGGCGTTAAGCACATTGAGGAATTGGGATTTTTAAATATAATTTGTCACAGTAGTTAGAACCATATCATACTACCCCTCCTTAGCACCAAGGAAACAAAAGCACTTGCCTGAAGACACTGATGGAGAAACAGTGCTTATTTTCATCCTTTCTTCTTTCTCCTTTCATCCTTCTCTACCTTGTCCTTTCCTTCATATTCCTTTTTCCATTTCTTTTAGCAAAGAAAAGAAAGTAGAAATAGATATTAAGTGCACAGTGAACATTGACAGTCATTTTCTTTATAGTTCTCTTATTGCTTTGCTGCAATTGCTATTTCTCTTTGTCAGCCTATCCTTCTTGGTATCTGTATATTTTAATTTCTACTCCTAAAACTCTAACATTGAAAGTTGCATACATACCAAATTTCTCACTTGTCCCCTACCCTTCTCCTGGTGCCATCTCTTGCTGTGTCTTGGGAGTTCTCTGAATTGCATATGCTGAATCTGGGGGTCTTTACATTCTAACCACTTCTAAATCTCCAATTAATTCTGACCAATATTAGATGAAAGAAAGTTGAAAGAAAAAATAATGGTATTTTTGATGGGTGTTAAATACAGATGATCAAAATTACTTGTCATCTGACTAAATGTGACTACCAAAAAATAAGATTAGATAAAATATAATAGATGAATTAATGCTGAAGAAAAAGTAGAAATGAGAAGCTTAAATCAATAGCTATTACTGAGAGCCTAATGTGGGCAGGGTTCCTTAAATTTAATGGTTATCAACTGAAATCAGTGGAGGAAGTCAGGTGGAAAGCTCCGTGGGGAGAGTGGGAAGGTTGATGTGAATCTGGAAAGACAAGAAAAAATGACATGAAGTCCCAGCTGGATAGCAAGTCCCGGTAAGCCAGTCTTGTTTCTGACATTTTCAAGACAATTTTTGAAGCAGATTGAATTTTTGTGTGTGTGTGAACTAGACTTGGATGTTGCCATTCATATGTTCCTTATAAAATCAAGGTTTTAAATATTATGTTCCTCAACATTTGTTCCTTGCTGCTCCCATTATTTTTGAGTATTTCAGATGTAATTATGATATTAAAATTAAAGCAAGTTTTGCATTCAAGTAAGACATTATAAAATATAATTTATGAGACAAATCAAATAATATCGTCTAATTTTTAAAATTTAACATTGATTGAATTTCTTGGAATCCTGGCCACATTCATCTGAGTGAATATTTGCAGTATATATCTTAACTAAAAGGTACAGTATAAACATAAAGCAAAAGTCTAATTGAGAGTTTTAATTTTTATCATTGTCACTGGCACTAAATTAGATTACAAAATTCTTTATTTTGATTTTTTTAACTTAAAATTTTTGAGTTTTATTAGTACATGTTTGCAGTATAAACATGACTACATTCACTGTAGGGCATAGGTTCATTTACATAATATATTTAAATTCCCTTCTTTTTTTCCCTCTCCTTCAAATCCCTTTCATCCTTCCAGCATCAGATTTATTTATTTACTTTATAAGACTTTACAAAATTAATTAACATTCATGCAGATTGAAAACCTAATAGGAAACATAAGGATTTAAACATCACTTAATGTCCCTAACCTCAATCATACATCTGAAAAGCTGATTGTATAAAATTATATTATTTTTAAGAAGTTATGAGTATAAATCATTATTAAATTAAGTTCATAGTAATAAAGTCAAATATTTATTTGTCTCTCTAATCCTTAATTTTACATTTTATTCACCAACAATAGTATCTTACTGGTATCCTATAGAATTTCAATAATTTTACTTGCTTAAACAAGTAGTAGAATTCCCAGGCCCTAATGGAAGAGGAAAGCGGACCATTGTATCCTTGATGTGCAGCATCCAGCAGGTAACTTGGTAACTCTGGGCCCCCGGGGAAGATGTGGGTGAGAAATGACCAGTGCCTGCATGCCTTGATCCCTATATCTCAGGTCCTGCCTTATAAACTGCTTTGTGTTTAATTTCTTTTTCTCCTGTGTCCTGGTGTTGTTTTGTTTTTCCATCTGGATTTGAGCTCTGTCTTTGAGCCTCAGTCTTTGGGCTCTACTAACTCCTGATTGTTTTTTCTGAAGCCAAGTACAGCTTTTCACGTTGTAGAGCCAGGTACTCCTAAACACACCCAGTTCTCATCTAAGTTCAAGCCAGTCTCCTCTTGGCAATATGATTGTCCGAGTGTGGCAACCATGTCATATGGAAACACATAGTAACATGGATATTTTTAGGTCTGTGGTGTTTTCTCACATGTTTACTGTAAGTTGGACCATAAATGGGAATCTCAGGCCAGCCTGAGCATCTGAAGGCCAGGATGTAAGCACAGTGGGGCTTAAAGTTATTGGCTCTGAGTGTTCCCACAATAACCTCAAACTATTACTTAGATCTTTCTAAAAGCAGACAGATATTTGGCTGCCACCGGTTCTAGCACAGATGCCTAGAGGACTGCCATGAAGTTTGCTGCTGATTAACTGTCTAAAAAGACTACATGCAGAATCTGAAACCTTTAGATTATTGATGGATTTTCCCAGAATAACTTTTCTAGAAGTTAGGTTTCTGTGTCAGCTATTCTGTTGTCTAACATGCTGTTGTATGAAGTACACAGAGCCATTGAAATGCTTTTGCCATATTTGGTTCAAATTTAAAAGTTCATTAAATAATATATGAAGAGTGAATTGAGTATAGGCTGAAGAACATATATATGTGTTCTAGTCAAAAAGCAAATCCATAGGGAAATTTTTAAGAAAATGATTGTCTTAATACATATATCAGATTAAAAACGTTATGTGAGACTTAACTAAGTCTACTGGAATACACTGTCACCTAAATTTTGGGAGAGAGGTTAGAATACAAAAAGTCACGAACTTAAATGATTTTCTAATTCTGTTCATTTACCCATAGAAATTCCACAGATTTTTATGTAATTATTTATTTAAAATTCTCTTATAACAATTACAGTGGAAGTGAAAATGATAGAAACACTTTCTCAGGGTAACCCAGCATTAGAGCTCTTGCTTAAAATGTGTGAGAAACTGGGCTTGACCCAAGATACAACAAAAACAAACAAAAGACTCCAGCAAAAACTCCATTAAAAAAGACATATTATTCATTAACACTTAATTTTTTATATTTTACTACATATGTATGTAGAAATGTTCAATATTTTAGTTGTAAGATTATCACATATACTTTTCTTTTTTAAAATAAGAATATTTCTTTTTAATTTTAATTTTTATTAGGACATGTTTACAGTACATAATGATCACATTCATTATGAGGAGTTGAATACAGAGAATAATATGAACAGATATGTACATATAACTAAGCTTTAACACATCTCAAGAAAATCTCATAGTTTCTTCAGCTATATCTCTTAAAGTAATAAAGGGTAAAAAAATTAAACTTTGTAGGCAGTCCTCCTTCTCCAATCAGATCTTCTAGTTTTGCTTCCTCTTTTCCTTCGTCAAAGTAACTATTATCCTGACTGCTTATTTCTGTCATTCATGTCATTATTTTTTTTTAACTAGGTAATGGTTTTCTCTTAAGCAACCTGAAATATTGTTTTCATGGTTTTATACATCAAATAATGTTTTACTAGGTGTTGTTCTTTATGTACCTTGCTCATTTTCCTCTACAATTGTGTGCTAGAGAGTTATTTATGCTGATGCCTACAGCACCAGTCCATTCATTTAAAATGCCACAGCAGGTCATTATGTGAATGCACTATGGCACTAGTCTTTTCTCACTAATCTGGGAGTACAATTATTGCTTTGTAAGCCTGGTTACTGGAGTGGTTTGTTATGCAGGTTTACTATGGCAATAGTTAATCAGTACATATGTATGTAGTACAAAGGTATTAGACTGCCAAGTCACTCTCCTTGAGATGTGCCATTTTCTCCCACTGTGCCCTTCTTACATAATGTCTCTGTCTGGCCATAGACCGAAAGTGATGGAGCCAGCAGACCATGACTGAAAACTCTGAAAGCTGGAGCTGGACTAAATCTTTCCTCTTCTCAATTGTTTTATCTCATGTATTTTGTCATGACAACCAAAAAATAATTTTCAGATATTAACATTTTAAGGTTATGTTCACTGTAGTACTATTATTTTAATCAACTTTTTAACAGTGTTTTCCAAATTTCTCCATAAAGGACTGCAGTTTTCTCATTTTATTTTAGGAATCTTTTAGATCTTTCTTGTTATAGTGAATGGTATCTTTTTTTATTCTATTATACTGGCTTACTAATAGTAATAGGCAATCTATTTTTGTTTATCATCTTTATGTTCATTAACCCTTCTCAACTCTCACTAATGTAGATGATAATTCTCTTGGCTTTTTTATGTGGACATTTATTATGAGCAGGTAAGTGTGGTTTTTACATTACTTTTTTATTGTCTTTTCATTTGTTGTTATAGATCTTCCAATAGACTGTTGAATAAAAGCAGTGATGAGAATATTTTTGTATTAATTCTGGTTCTAAGGGAATGTCCTTAATGTCTGTTTGTCTTGTTGATAGATAACCTTTATTAGGTGTACAGGTCATTGAGCTCTTTACTCTCAAACTTGACATTTTCCTGAAAACTGCATCTCACAGACATTAGCAGCTGAGTTTTGGATATCTTTATCCATAGAACATACTGTTAGGGGCCTGGAGTAAAAGAAAAAGCATTAGGGGAGTTCTCCCCGAGCCTTGACACTTTAGTACTTATCTGGCAGTGGCTCCATCTCCTCCATAATATCATTTCCTAATTTCACAGTCCTAACTTATACTAGACAGTATCTATGTACATCTTTCTCTTGCCTGGTAGCCTTACATCTTGATTCTGCTTAAATTACCTCCTCCTTTTTTCTCTCTCTTGGAGATACAATAGGTGCATTAGTTCCTGTTACTTTTTTGGCTTTCAGCTATCTGAATACCTTTGTAATGCTGAGTGGCATGATTCCCACTTCTATCCCTTAATTTCTAGTGAGGAGAGAATCAGTACCATATATTGCGCACTGATTCAAAGCAGATGAAGGTTCTGGAGAAACTTACCACAGATCTGCAAAGTACTGTTACCTGGCTGGCTCTGTAACTGCATCTTCCAAAGGCCATTCCACCCTTCTCTCATTTAAGCTGCCTCTGGATGGTAGGGAACATAGTAATATCAGTGAGTTCCATCCATGAGTTCACCGCATCCCTTCTTTGGCTGTGAGGTACATTCTTCGGTCAGAAGCAATACTGTGTAGAATAACATAACAGTAGATGAAGGATCTTGTAACTTTACAGATGGCAGTTTTGGCAGAAGAATTATATGCAGGGGAGGCAAATTATACTGGGAATAAGTGTCTGTTCCAGTAAGGATGATGCACTTCTCTTTCCATGATGGAAATAGTTCAATATAATCAACCTGTCACCAGGTCACGGGCTGATCATCCTAGAAAATTGTGTCATATCAGGGACTCAGTGCTGATAGATCAGGCATTCAACTGTGGCTGTAGCTGGATCAACTTTGTTATGTGGAAATCTATGTTGCTGAGCCCATGCATAACTTACATTACTGCTTCAATAGCCATTTTGTTCATAAGTCCATTGTTATAATCATGGCAAGCATGGCTGTTAAAAAAGATTGATTGCTCACCACAGAATGGGATTATTATGTTCTGTTCTGTTGAGGTCATCTTTTGATGAATATTTACATGGAACACAAATATCTTTACATCCTTCACCTCTCTATCCACCTACCTCTCCCTCCAAAATTTTTGTCACCAATTTTCTATCGCATTATTTCAAATCCATGACCATCTGGCTAGGACATTGACTACAGTGCATTAATAGGTATATACTTGTACATCTGGCCATTTGCTCTTCCAAGAAAAATGTGCAAACAAATACACTGTCCAAAGTTCTGTTTCCTGTGAATATTTCCTTTGACATTGCTTTTCAGGTATATCCTGGAAAGGGATTGTAGCACTTTAAGATGTAAATTTTCAGATTTTATATAATATACAAGACAATCTGCATGTTTAACCACACCTGGCTTTCTCTTTCTTTGTCAAATAACAATATGGCATACCCCATGAGACCATAGGTACATGCTGGGAGATGTACAGCAATGTAGCAAGAGTATGAAACATGGATAATTATACCACTTCATGTTACTTACTTGTACCTCTGCACTCGCCTAGGCTAAATCACATACTCACCATTTCCATTTGATGATGGACTGTTGCTATGCCTGTCCAATTTTATGGCTTAGTGGGTGTGCAGTTCATGATGGACAACTTAAGTTGTTTGATGATCTGGTATCCTGTGTTCAAGTATACAGTTTCTACTAAGGCCCAGTAGCAGGCCAGTAGCTGTTTCTTAAAAGGAGTGCTGCTGTCGGCAAATGACTTGCTGGAAAATTCTTGCTTCAAAATTCTCAGGCCCTCTTCTGTGGTTCACCTGTAGGGGTCTTTCAGAGGCTCCAAATAGCATCACTACCTGCCACTGACACCTTGAGTGCCACTGGATCTGGTGTATCATAAGGTCCAAGTGGTAGAACCTGCTTCACAGCCTTCTCTTGTTATGGGCTCCACTTAAAACTAGCAATTTTCTGAGTCACTCAGTAAATGGGCCAGTATAAGACACCCAAATGAAGAATATGCTCTAAAAATACAAATGAATTCTACAGAATCAAGAGAAGAGACCATGACAACCTTATGTCTCACCAAAGTAGACAGCCAACTCCAGGATTCACTGCTCCTTACAATTCTGCTTCTCTAGCACCATGCCTGGTACCAAAGTCTGTGTTAGAGTTCCCTAGAGGAACAGAATAAATATAACAATATATGTATAATTATGCAAAGGAATGTATTAGGTAGGCTTACAGGATCAGCAAAAGAGTTGCAGTGGCCATCTTCAAGAACAAAAGCAGAAGAATCCAAATGGCCATCTGCATCCTGGAGAGCTGCATATGTAACAAACTGAAGATCTGGAGGTTAACTGTAGAGTTGGTGCACATCTGTGTCAGGAGGAAAAAAGTCTGCATTAGAAGGTTGAAAATTCTAAGCCAGAGGGCTGAAAAAACTGGAGATGAGTATTCAAAGGCAATGACAAAGGCCAAAGTTCTCCACAGAAGAGAAGACTCCCTTTTTTTTCCTGTATATATTCTATCCAGGCTTCAAGCTTTTTGGCTGGTAGCATCTATGTCTGAAGGGCATCTTCCTTCTGTAAGGTAGTTCACATAGATGTTTACATGTTTTCACAGAGTTACTTACACAACCCTAGTGTTTGCCATGGGCTAGTGGCAAAGGATATGGCTGCAAGTTTGGCCCCATGGCACCTGCAGTTATTTCATTGTACTGATGATGTCATGTTAGACTTTGATTCTCTTGCAGGACTGGAGCAGGTTGCTGGTTTCCAGCAGTGCTTAGTGGCATGTAGGTGGGCCATCAATGAGACCAGGATCCTGGAACTTGTCCTCTTTGTCACATGATTCAGAGTTGTCTGGTTGGGTGGAAGAGAGGTTAATACCAGAGGCTATTGTTGGTAAGATACAGAAGTTTCCTCACTCTACCACAGTGAAACAGTTACAGACTTTCCAAGTCCCGTGAAGTCCTTGTAAAGATGTGGACAACTACACAGTGGCTGGGTGGCTAGAGTTTTAGATATTTATCCCCAAGACAGGGGTCACTCAAGTGTGAATGCTGACTAGATAAAGTAACAGAGTGCAGAACATATGCTTAAAAATGTTTCTGCTAAGTTTCAGCAGGCATTAGGACTGATGGAGTATACAGATGATGTTGTACCTCGGTCTCTCCACTCAAAAATCCAGAAACCTCCCCCCTGTCCCCCAGGATGGTCAGCTACCAACTCCAGCAAATGTTTGGTGTATGGATGGGTTGAGGCATGGAACTGCCACACAATAGACAGCCATTTCTGTAAGAGTGGAAACAGACAGTATTTAATTTGATACATGTACTAGACAGAGGGTATGTAGGTCATTACCCAGGAGGAGGGCCCTCTTATTGTGTACACTAATAGTTGGTGATATAGAGAGGCTTTATGTTATGACTTTCTATATAGAAGGCCACAGGTTATCTAGTTGCCCATTCTCCTGGGTAGAGCCAAGTCATGTGGCAAGATCTATAAGAGGTAGGTCTCATAGAAGAGGGAAAACATATAAAATAGACATGCCAGAACATGATTGGCACTGGGACTAACTTGTATTGTTTTACAGGTTAGGCACTATACCAATGTCCACAAATAAGAGGGGTTTGTTCAGAAGGGAGAGCTATTTTCCATTCCCCACCAAGGCACTGTCCTGAGTGGGGACAGCCCAGCAGGAAGAGGCCTCTGTCTTTAGATTCTTGGAGATTCCTGGGTTCCTAGGGTCAGGAAAAGAGACTATGGTGAGATATTTAAAAAGAATTGGAAGAAGCCACGCTGGGTCTGGGAGGAGCACTTCAAGAAGCCAGTTTGTCTTTCCGATAAGCTGTGTAAAGCATGCAGGGCCCAGGAAGAGAGAAGCCAGTTTTCCCTTCTTGTAACCAGCTGTTTTGGAGGATAGGCTGAGTTGAGAGCAACTGAGGTACAAATATGATTAAATGCGTGTATTGTTTGATTGACTTTGCAGGCCTAAGGCCGGTAGTCTAAGCATCTGTTAGGAGGATAACAGATGCAAGATAGCAAATATGTGGGACTTGTATCTATCTTGTTTTCAAAATCCAATATTGTTCTCACTGTTTTATTCTAACTTAGTGTTTTGTTTTATGCAATGTTCTGTTTTGGTTTTATTCTGTTTTGTTTTATTTGATTTTAGTATGTCTGATGGGATGGACAACTATTGTGAAGGTAACAAGATATATTATGGTAGCCATTGTAAGTTTCCTATTATACTGATTCAAAGTTCTGCACCACTTTCACTGCTTTGTTTTAATTGGTTTTACTCTGTTTTGTTTGGTTGGGTTTTGTTCTCTTTAAAAATGAAAAAAAAAAGTTGGAGTTGGCTTGGTGGCAAATGCCTGTAACTCCATCACTTGTGAGGCTGAGGCAGGAGGAACACTACATTTGAGGCCAACATGGGCTGTATACTGAGTTCAAAGCCAGCCTAAACTACATGGCAGGACCCTATTGAAAGAGAGCAATGGAGAGAGAGAGAGACAGAGAAAGAGAGAGAGAGAGAAACAGAGAGAGAGAGAGAGAGAAACAGAGAGAGAGAGAGAGAGAGAGAGAGAGAGAGAGGAACAGAGAGAGAGAGAGAGAGAGAGAGAGAGAGAGAGAGAGAGAGGGAGAGAGAGAGAGAGTTGGAGAATTAATTTGGTTCCCAGCCTTCTGCTAGCTGAGTGTGTATTCTAGTCTGGCCACCAAAAGTGACTGTACACACAGGTGTACAAGCTACTATATTATGACCTACAATGAGTTCTTCTAACATGCTGTTGTAACATGTGCATATGAGGATTGGCTCTCGTGGTCTGCATATCCAAGCAATCACACCCCACAGACAGAAGCAAGGGAGTATGGGGAAAAATGAAACTCAAGATAGCATAATAGTCCAGGCTGTTGGGGTCTGATAAATTCCCATGTCAGCAGAATTCCAGCACGGGCACACCTTGCTGTCTCTGTGTAAGTAGCTTATATAACCAAGATCACTGCTGGCAAGCAGCCACTATTTTATACTTTTACTATAAATCTGAATTTCTGCAAGAATTGAGGGACTGAGAATCCAATTCTATAGTGATAGTTGGGAGCCACAAGAGCAGTGAAGCCTGTGGGCTGGTGGGGCCTGAGCTCTGCTGTGAGTGTCAGCTAAATAAAAGTTGGCCTATGGCCAAGCAACTGGATGGCTAGACCGATGAGACAAGCCCATTTAGCAGCCAAATAAGGGCTTATCTGATAGTCTCTGGCTTTGGGCTGTCCTTATCTCAATGAACTTTCGCAGTCTGAGTTGGTGACACAACACATAATTTCTTATGAAAAGTCATGGGTTATTCTTATCATTGTTCCTCTGTGTGTGCTGTGTCTTCCTTTCCAAGCTGTTTTTAAAACATTGTCTTTGGTATTTAGTAATTTGACTGTGATACTTGTAGATGTGCCTTCTGATATGCATTGTGCTTGGGTTTCTTGGACTTCCTGCATCCGCAACTTGAAATTTTAGCAATTAATTTTGCACAATTACAATTTTCTCTACATATTTTCTTGTTGTATTCCCTTTCTCTTCTTCTGCAACTTTTATTGCACATATGCTATGGCACTTT